AATAAATAAATAAATAAATAAATAAAGTAGCATTGTGTTCATCAGAAAATATATTTGCGTAATACTAGGGAGTTGCCAGACCCGTTAGTAATTGAGAAAATATTTTCATAGTAATTTAATATTTTGGAGAAGACATAGTACATCTTTTTATTGAATGCATTGGTGAATTCTTTCTCGCTTGCACTATAGTTGGCCAGTCTTTCTAAATACCACTGAGGAGCATCCATCGATATTCTCACATTATTTTTAAGTGTAAGTTGAATTATAGCAGAGCTCCTTTACCTCTAAATTTTTCATTTCTTTTATGGCCAAAGCACAGGAATGATGAGTGTACACACATATTTCCCCAAAGTAACCAGTAAGACTTTTAAAAAATTTTTAAATAGTATTAAGTGACCCTGTCCTTTACAATTTTCATCCTATCCTGTAATCTTCCCTATAGAGGAACTTTGCTTTATTCTAGTAATTCACAGTGATTTATAACGAACAAGAGATGTCACCTTATTGTACATTTGCCAGACCACTTAGGTGACTTTAATAATCACATTAACTTGGTGTCTGGACCAGAGGTTTATTAGTGTTTTTTATACTGCATGAGATCTTCTACCATGAGTCTGATATGGAGAATCATTTTTAATTTCATAGCAATTAATAGTTTTAATAACTCAACAAATTTGGAACTAACAATCTTTTGTAAAAGAAAAAAATGGTGTTTATTTTAATAAATGTTTGAAAAATAATAACTATAAGTCAATATTTATTATTTATAAAAAAGTTAGAAAACAGTTAAGAAATTATATAATAAAATCTCATAGACATAACCAATATATTTCCCATACAGACTTTTTTTATAGATACATGTAAGAAAAGTGAGATAATAATGTAATAGTGTACTCCTCACCTAACAAATACATCATAGCAAATTTCTCTAGCATTAAGTATTCTTTTAATATTTAAAAGGGTGGAAAGTATTATATGATTGTATAAATATTTAAGCTGTCCCCTACCCTGCTTTAAGTTGATCCCAATTTTTTCTTCATTACAAACGATGCTGTGTAATAAAAATGTTCTATATCTTAATAGAGTGACAGTAAATATTTTCAAAATTATTTATTTCACAGTAAGTTCATTACATCTCATTATTAAAAATAGGAAAAAGAAAACATGCTATAATGGGCATATTTATATTTAAATCTTTTGTAAATTAAGACCATTTTCTAAAGATAAACTTCTTGAACTGAGACTGTTGGATCAAATAATATATTTTCAAAATATTTGTTCATCCAGTAATATTTACCAAGTTAATACACAGGCCAAGACACTGCATAGCTGTCTTCTAGAGCAATAGTCTCATAGCATATTTCTTAATGTATCTCAATACTGGGTTTCATAATTTTTAAAAAAATCTTTTCTTTCACAAGATTTTAAAAAATGATGCCCATTACTTCAATTTGTACTTCAAAAAAAATACTGGTAATAGGAAAATTCTTTTCCTGATGCTATGCATTATTCACATTTCTTATCTCTACTTTTCTCTCACTGTCTCCTTTGTTCTTTCCCTTCCTTTGGTAAAAATTTTTTACTTACAAATCAGCAAAAACTTGTTGAATATTAAGGTTATTATCTATACCTCACAGTTTTTAAGCATGTTTTCCAAATTTTTCATCTGTCTTTTAAAAGTCTGGCCTGAGAATTTTCAGTAGAGCATTTACATTTTTATATATTGTGGTTAAATTTGTCATTTTTCATCTTCATGGCTTTTATCTTGGGCATCATATTTAAAACACTCTTCCACATCCCAAAACAGTAAGATTATGTAATACATACACTCTCTGGCACCCATTTATTAGGATCCAGGGTCTAATTCATGCAGTTGCCTCGGACACTGCTGTGCACACAGTTTCCTACCTTAGTAAGCAATCCTTTCACTGTTGGTTTGCCCTCAGGCTGCAGGAAAAGTGGGTTAGCAGCTTGTACGCGAAGAACATTCTGCAACACTTTAATCCATTCTTCCAATATATTGGGAGAATCTGCAGTCAGATAGTATGTGTGCTTTTCAGTAGTCAGCTAGAAAGGGATAAGAAAGGCAAATGTAATGATTTAGGATTAACATTTTCTTCTGCATTCCTCAAACATCAATGCTTAACAGGAGAGCAAACACCATAAGCCTTAAATCCTAAATTAAGTAAATGACTCATAATAATTTAGAATACTTTAACTACTTTCTGAAAATTATAATTCAATTTTTGTCAAAATAATTTTTTTACTTTGGTTTAATACTTTTTATATATTAAGTTTGAGGGTCATGACTTTATATCTTTACTCATCATGTTTTCATTTTCTCCTTTAAATGTGCTACAGGGTTCCTGGTTGAGATGAGGAGCAGAATGACAAGGCTTTAATAGTATAATAGTATAGTATAATTTTAGCAACCAAAAAGGAGTGATATATATCTATATCTATACCAAAAGATAGATAGATAGGAGCCGGGGATTTAGCTCAGTGGTTCTGCCACCTGACTCACAAGCGCAAGATCCCAAGTTCAGTCCCTGTTTCCAAAAAAAAAAAAGATAGATAGATAGATCTCTAATATAAGCAAAATGAGAAGATCCTACACACAAGTACAAGGAGAGAAATTATTCTTGGAACTAACAAATGATCAGATATTATAAACTCAATTTTTCAGTCTCAAATTGACCACATTACAAATTTTCCAAATATTTGAGAACCTTAGAAATGATTCTTGACAGCAGTGCTCCAAGACAAAGCTTTCCTTGATTCACCCTTCTAAATCTTTGAGGATTTCTTAGTTCACTGGAAACACTGATAATGTACCTTTCTGAAAAGTGGTGTCTTTCACCCTCCAAAGGAGCAAGATAAGAAAATACAAGTTATTGAAAACATTTCAGAAATAAAGTATTTGAATTTAAATTACACATACCATACTATATCCACAGTCTTATTTTAATTTAACAGGTTTTGGGCAAGATAGGGCTGCTGTGTGCATCAAATGGCCAATGGCTACCTCTCTGGTGTGATTTGGCAGGATGGCCCTGCTACTCACCAGTAGCTTTCCCACTTGGGTGTTATAGCACCTGAGGTTCAAGGATAAAAAAATACAAACACTCCTGAATCTGACAGTACATTCTATTACTATCTTATTTGGGATTCATTTATCAGATAATTCTTCCCTAAAATATGTAGAGATTTTGAGAACTGAAAATACCTAGAAGATTAAATATGGGGAAAGAAAGACATAAAGAAAGAAAAAGTAAAGAAAGTATAAGTTATTGAACATAAGCTTACCTTAAAGTATAGTTTTAACTAAAAAGCCATGGAATGTTACACACCTTTAAACATCAGACTGATTCCGCACTGAATCAAGAAACACTGAATTATCCAATCTCCTTTCCAATAGTTTGGATAACTGATGACTGGGTTTTGCAAGTATAAATTAAATAAATAAATAAACAAACATATGTACATACCTGAACTGTTTGTTTGTTATCTCCTCTTAAAATACTGCAGGATGCACTAAGTTCAATATGGCCTTGGGGTTTTCTAATTACATCACTCTGTAGGAGGGAAAGGAAGAAAATCAAATGTAAAAAAAGTAAATGTAATAGTAATAATAAGAAATGTTTTGTTATCATTAACCTATTTATACCAAAGATTGTAAGTTTTTGAATTTTTACATGAAATTTACATATGTTACCTAGAAAAATTCAAGGAATAAGTGTTTGAAGAAAAAAATTTTACTATGTTGTTAGGGGCATTCAAAAAATGAAACACTAGGCTTTGAAGAGTTAGTTGCATTGCACGGAAGTAAACCAGTCAGGAGTTTGATTTATAGTTTGAGGAATTTGGTTCTAAATACCAAACACTTTCCACTCACCGGAGATTTGTAGTAAAGTAATTCACCTCCTTTAAGAACAAACCACCTCCGTTTCCAAGTCTTGACTTTACTACTCATTTTTAGTAGATAACCAGATTTTTCCAGTGGTTCCTAATTTTTAAAAAATTAAAGTTTCCTTTAAGAGGCTCAAACAAAATGATTCACTAATTTTTAAAAATCCAATTTAATGTTTACATTTTTCCCATTATCGCTGGATGATGAGCAGGTTTTGGGGAGCTTCTGCTCAGGCTGCGAGCACTCAGTGTCTGTGGAGTAGGCATCAGGAGGGATAGCGTAGTCACTTTCAGAAGCCACAGAGGTCAGAGACACACCTAGAAATATAACAAAGTCAGTCAGTTTTTAACACTGGCGTAGTCCAACTACCAGCTGTTAGTTCTATGGAATACAACTACTACTAAACCATATACCACCCTAGACTAGATTTATTCTCATTCCTTGGTCCATGAAGAGCTTTTAAGGGAGAAAACAGAACTGACGCATAGAGACTGTCATGTAAATATCCAAGTCAAAGGAACATAAATAAAACTTTGGTTTGACTACAATCACAGCTATTTTTACATATATAAAATACATGCAATAGTCTATTAATGTAGCTTTTGTTAAGCATTAAAATAGGTATTTACATATTGATATGTAAACAAACATGTTGAACCTTAAAGTTTTCATAATTACATTTTAAACCACTTAATTTCTGTAATTACTTTTAAAGTAACTTCACACTAAAAACAATATGATTTCAGTATTTTTATATGTCAAACTACTAATGTACAGATTTTTAAATCTTTCATAAAAGAGAAGCAGTAAGTCTTAAAGACATAAGAAGACTATTTCATTTGCCAGTAGCTATAGAGTAAAATTCAATAGAACATTTTTACAATAATTCAGTTGCCTTAATAAAAAGCTACTTGTAAGTTGTATGACACATTTAGAGGATGCTTACAATTGGAGATTTTGAAATAATAAAATCAAGGACCTTAGGTCATTATTTATTATAATACCCAGGAATTATTTAATATTTATTAGCATTTAAAGGACATATTAGGATAATTCTACTCTTTTTTTTTTTTGGTACCAAGGATCGAACTCAGGACCTTGTGTTTTCAAGGCAGGTGGTGGAACCACTGAGCTAAATCCCCAGCCCAATAATTCTACTCTTGTAACACTACCCTCATGTAACTCAGACAAGTAACAACTGTGATAATATCTTTATTTTTCATGAAACAATAGAAATTAGGGATCTCAGAGCTTATCCTGGATAATGCCCTCTTTCTGTAAGGAGACCAAGGCCCAGAGATGAAAGGATTTGTTCAAAACAAGATAGCTAGGCAGGGGGCCAATGCTGGAAGGCAAATCTCAGCTCCCAGCCCTGAGCCAGTGTGCCAGGCACTGTCCAAGGTGCTAGGGATAGAGAGGACACAAAACAGAAACATTTCAGCCCCCAGAGAACATAGATTCTAGTGGAGGGAGACAGGTGACAAACATTTAACTGATGTGCTATGGAAAATACAGCACACAGCAGACTAAAGTGACTAGAAAGGGCCAGCAATAGAAGGGCAAGGACTTTGAATGGTGTGGGCATGGTGGATCTCATTAAGGAACCAGTATTTGAGCAAAGTCCTGAAGGAAGTGAGGGAGTCAGCTACACAGACACCTGGGAGAAGAATATCAAGTGGAGGAAACACCAGTGTAAACGTCCTGCTACAAAAGCATGCCTAGTTTGTCTAGAACAACAAAAAAAGCCATACCCCAGAGATGAATAAGAGAAGAGTAAGGAAGAGATGAGATCAAAGACATAAAAGAATAATGAAATGCCTTACAGCTATTGTGAAGAGCCATTGTAGTACAGTACTCTGAGTAAAAATGTGACATACCCTGATTCTGTTTATGGGGGACAAGATGGATGCAAGGCAACCAGAAGTAACCAAGGCTTAGCAGCTCCAGTTAAAAGTTGAGGATTTTGAAAATACCCAGGAGTCTGCAGAACACACTTCGAAAACAAGTACACACACAACAAGCCTTTCCATGATATGAGTGTCATGTTGTAGGATTATCTCTCTTGGTAACCTCCTTCAAAACCCATTAACAACCATGGGTGTGCCTCAAGTAAAGTTGTGATTGATTCCTAGTTCAGTATCATACTAACCAACACACTTTTAGGTGACTTTTCTGACATTTAGCAATACACACATTTAACTGAAATAAATCTATCCCACGAATTACCTAAAATTCGACAAGGTAACTATAAAAAAAGAAAACCTCAATTTGGCCAAGGATCTCCCTTTATTCACACAATAAAGTGATCTCTTTCCTATCGACAAGATAAGGCAATAAAATAAAATTTAAGACTGTGGTTTTTCTGGTATTACAGAGAATTAAGAAAAAAACCACAATATCTCAGGTCTAGGCTAATATATCTTTCACCATGGTTTTAAGCAAGTGCTTTCAGATTCTTTTTAAAAATCCTGTTATAGAGCTTGTTTGGAGGTTCTAGCAGGGGAGAGTAGCTACTTGTATAACCTTGATGGAGGAAAAGATCCTCCTCTATCAGGGGTGGTTCAACCTAGTGCACAGCCATGGAGCAGTGAAGGAGGGAGGGGACACCTGCCTGGTCAACCAGATCAGCTGAGTCAACCCTGGCAATCAATGGGGTGACAGATGTCACAGACAGATCACCCTCACAGCCAAAAATCCTATTACAGAGCTAAAGCCCCGTGCAATTGCTCTGGGGGCCTGGGTGGCCCGTGAGACTGCATTGTGCACTCACCTCGCTTCAGGGCCCTGGGGCTGCCAGGCCCACTGCGGCTGCGCGGGTCCGACTCCGATGTCCGTGAGCTGCACCTGGAACTGTCCTCATCTTCCGACCCAGAGGAGTCATCCTGGAAAGGGCTGCTACTTATTTGGGTCGCTTTCTAAAGAAAAGCAGAGCAGCCTCTCTGTATACACTTCTAGTCACTTCTCTCTTCAGATGCACAATGTTTTACAGAAAGAGGTCACGGAGTATGTTTTTTTGGAAGGAATACAAGAACATATTTTACCATTGTGAGGCTCACGTTGTCAAACCTCAAATTCTAATTAGCTAGGCAGTGGTCAATTAGAAAATATTCCTGAAAACATAAGACTGTCACTATCTGACAAGATTCATTTTAATTAGGTACTGCTGGCAAGGAAGAGGACCCTAGCACTGACACAAAGATCTTTCTAAATCTGGAGTTTCCATTACATGATTAATAATTCCTTTCAACAATTAACAGCTTGGGGCAGGGGTGGGCAGGAATCACACGGGAATGGATACAGCCCTCTAACGCTCTGAGAAGAATAAATATCTTCTCCAGAATTTTTCATTTTTTCTTTTTTATTATATGTTAACAGAGTCTTCTGAAACTCTCTACAAAGGGAGAGGGTCTGGCTCAAACGTTAAGAATGGAATCTGGAGCTTGAAGAAACAGTTTTCCTGATGCGTGATGAAGAGAACCACATGTTTAACACTAATGATGAGTTACCCCTTTTAATGTTGTGTACACTGGGGTTGTCAAATTCTTGTATATCAGAGATGTATAAAGTCCGGATGTGGTATAGGAAAGCATGGTAGCAGAATCTGAAACAGAAAACAACATTAAAAAAATCCTAACTAGCGCATTGGCCTATTTCTTACCAATATGAATTAGCATGATTGCCAATTAAAGAGAAACTGGACTAAGTCATGTGATTACTCATTATACAGTCTGGTTTATGAACTACAGCACTTCCAGGTTTATATATGGATTTTTTTTACATGTTTCATTATTTTCTCATGTGTGCTGGTTTCCCAGCGGGGCTGTAAGCTCCTTGAGAGCAAGATCTATAGCTTTGATTTCTTTAGCCTCTCCATGCACATTTAGCTGAGGCTGCACATAAGTAAAAGCAGCTACCAACTGAGTGACTCAGTGACCAGTACCTATGCAGATGTTAACTATTCATAGCCCTGTTCCTGACATGCTGTTAAAACACCATCATGCTTTTTTTTTTCTTTTTTGGTACCAGAGATTGAACTCGGGTCCTTGCGCTTGCGAGGCAAGCGGCGGAACCACTGAGCTAAATCCCGGGCCCACCATCATGATTCTTAAGCCTTTATTGAGTGAATCTGATGTTAAAAGGTTAGAATATAATTTCCCTAATGGTAACAATAGAAGATAGCCAAAAAGGAAGAGAATATCAACAGTTACCTCTGAGATATAGATTAGTGATAGGATAGGGACCCTAGGAAAATCTCTCTTAATTCCAGACAGTTCTGTGTTGTTAGGCTTTATTTTTATAATGAGTATATATTGTTTCTATAACAGTTCTTGGTAGAAAAGGAGAAAAGAACATAGTAACCATTATTTTTACAGTTTTAAACAGCTACAATACCACGGTTTCTCTATATTTTCTCCTTTCAGGTAAAAATTTAGTGAGGTACTATCTGTATTAAAGTTGAATGTATTAGTGCCCTTTATACTAAGATTAATTTCAATTTAAAAACATATTATCAGTAACCTTAGAAATTAGTTACTGAGATTTATATAATTAGATTTATTTCAATGAATTTAGCTAATTGGGGAGTTCTTGGCTGGTGAAACAGCAATACAAAATCATATGCATTTTAAACACTTTTTTATTGTGGTGAAAAACACAGAAAAGAGAATTTATCATCTTAACCATTTTAAAGTGTACAATTCAGTAGTGTTAAGTATATTCACATTGTTATAAAGCAAATCTCTAGCGCTTTTTCACCTTGCAAATCTGAAATCCCCCTTTTTCCCCCTTTCCCAGCCCAGGTGACTACCATTCTACATTCTCTATCTATGAATTTGACTGCCTTGGCTACCTCAGTAGGTTGGAATCATACAGTATTTGCCCTTTTGGACTCTATTATTTGTTTGTTTCATACAATCACTTGGCATAATGTCCTCGAGTCTAACCTACGTCACAGCATGCAAAAGAACTTACTTTTGTTAACGTTCTCCATATTGAAGGCCTCAGACATTTGAATGCCTGATTTGGCTACAGCATAAATTCTGCCTTCCTAGTATAAAAGAGAGATTTGAAGAGGGTATTTAAAACAAAGAAATGATTACTTTCAGTACATACATTTTTATTTGTTCTTCATTTAATATTCTTAGAGTATAGCATTATTATAAAACTCATTAGTGCCAATAAAACACATCCTTGTGAATTGCACTGTAGACATTTTTCTCATCCATTAGTCATTTCATTATTTATCTTTGTTCCCAAATTTTAAATTCTTTTGAAGATAAAGGGAACAAGTACAAGAAAGCTGATACATAAAGCTTGATTCATCTTTAATTTTCTATCATTTTAGAAAGTGGTTAAAGAAAAACTTTGAATGGCTGTACAATGAAATCAGAAACTATTTATGATCACTGAATAAAAATAAATACCTTCTTTAATATTTTACCATTCTGGAACATGGTTAAGGAAAAAAACCTTTAAGTCAGAAATCATAGACAAAGTGGCCCTAAATGCTATTCTCTTATTTTAATGTATGCTCCAATCAAGTAGAAAAGCACTCAGGTTCAAATAATACATGATTTGGAAAAGTGCAATGACATTTATAAAATTATCTTATTCCAAAGTAGGTTATTCTGTTTTCTCCTCTTTTCTGAGACAGACCTCTCAATGGGTATTGGAAAGGCTATTAGCCCTCCCCCAGCCCCATGAGAAAAGAGACCCCCAGTGGTTCCATAGATCACACAGTTCAGTATCTTGCATTTTTGTAATGGGTCTAACCTGGGCAGAGTTGGCTGGACCAGGGCATAATAAACTACCAGTGCCATCCTCATTCAGACTAGTCAGTGGCCCAAGAGGTAAATGGCATAAGATCTCTGATGTACAGAGGCACTTCAGACTGAAGAGCATCTGACTGGATTAGATGCAGTTTCTCTGAGGAGGTAGTTGTGAGATACACAGAAATGAACACTAGAGTGGGATGATCACAAAGACTAAAGAAGTAAGGCACTAAGGGAGGCATGAGGCAGTTAGAAGGCATGGCAGTGTGGGAGAAAGTGGACATACAGAAAACAAGTAGAAAGAGAATCACTGTAAATAAGAGGACAGCCGATTCTCTGGAGCAGCAGCAATGGATGTCACTTATTTCTAAACTGATGATCAGAGGTACTGGTGAATCATAGGTTATCCCACTAGACTCACTATATAATATATATATATATATATTTTAAACTGTTATATTTTAAATGACATTCCAACTCAAGAAGGATAACTTATGCCTTAAAAGAAATGGGCTGGGGATTTAGCTCAGTGGTTCTGCTGCCTGCCTCGCAAACGCAAGGACTCGAGTTCGATCCCTGGTATCCCCCCCGCCAAAAAAGAAATACTTGGTAGTTGAGGTAACTAGAATACATCTTTTCCTTGGAACCTGAAAATAACTCACAAACAAAAATCAAACCTCAAATTTGGCCAGTGTGCTGGAAGGCTTTTGAAAAGCAATACTACTTTTTCAGGTCTGAATTTCTTCAGAAGAAAAGGAGAGGAAAGAAAGGCAAAAAAGTAGTAAAATGATTTGCCAAATAAAACAAACTTGAAAGCCTAACATAAATCTTTGAATATCTCAACATAATAAAAACACAACATTTCAACTTCTTACTGCCTGAACTGTAACATAATTGAAATTCCAAAGATTCACATGCAATTAATTTCCACTTCTTTATGAGCCATCCAGAATTTAGTAAAAAACTACAGACAGTGTCATGCAGTGAATGAAATGAAATCTTCTCTTGAAAGCTAATAAAAGCAGATACAAGGTTTGAATTTATACTAGAAAAATATGGCTTCCCTAATTTGCTTAAAATTAGAGCAGTTACTAAATTTTAAAATAATAATAAAAGAACATGACTCCAAAAGCCAAAAATCTTACAATCCAGGTGTTTCTCTGTAGGCCAAGGGTTAAATTATGACAATACATGAAGGAAAACTTAAACCTACAAACCAGACCAATTCACTTTGTTTCAAATATAGGAAGAATTTTTTTCATCTAGCAATACAGACAGTCCTTGAGTTAATTATTGTAGTGATGGTCAATGTTTCCATTAGAAGGAGTTTTTATCTATTCTCGATATGTAGAAAGACGCTTTGGCTAAAGCAATGGATTTATAAGCACAGGAAGAAGAAAATGAAACTTCCCTTGACCCAATCAAGAAAATGACTTTTTTTTTTTTAAAGACCAATAAGAATTAAGTGTTCTGGTACAGAATCACACAAAATTGTCACAGTTAGAGGGAACCCTTCTTCCCCATCTGCTAATGTTTCTTTCTCTGTGGAGGGACAGTAATTAAGTGCTCCTGATCTCTCTTCACTCATTCACTTTGTCCTCCTCCACAGCACACAGAGCCCAGCACTTTCTTCTCCTTTCCCACAGAAAACAAGCACCTGTCTGTTTCTTCCAGTCGTAAGTTTAGAGGGGCATCATCTCTCTGAAGGAAGCCTGGGATGGTCCAGGCCTGCCTGGGCTGGAGGAATAATTCTAGCTAGCTCCAAAGTTCAGTATTGGAAAGCAATTTGCTTACCAATTCTCTAAAACTCTGTTTTATCAGTAAATAAGGTAATATTTTGCTTTCCATCTGTCTTCTCACTTGATTTACAACTAAGTGGGGGACAAGAAGGGGAAATTATTATTTGGGAATCTGAAAATTATCAGAACAAAACTGGATTTGAAAAGAAGTTGGGAAAAGAAGTAAAACAAATGAGTGTTGAGAAAGAACCACCATGGATGTGTCCTATACAGGAATATAATTACCCAAGAGGGAAACCGGTGCAGGGGAGGAGTGGGGGGTTTGCTGCTCGCTGCCTTCTTTGCTGAGTCACAGATTTCCTGGTCATCTGAATATGGAGATTCCAGGGAGTCATAGGAAAATAATCCATCATCACAACTTGTGTCCATATTGTCTAAAATTTCACTGTCACCATCAACTAGATCTAGATCTGTTTCCTGAGGTCTCAATGGTCGTATCATGCTTATAGCATTTCTGTTTGTACCAAACATCCTGTCAGAACTTAACTGTGGCTGGCTTAAGTGCCTTTTGGCAAGTGCTACACTTATACTGAAAACATTAGGAATCCTTAACTTTGGGGGTGGCAGGTGTGATGAAGGCACTAATGATGTTCCTTTTCCAGGAAGCGAATTAGGATGCTTTGGAGTTAAAGCAGGAGTCAAAATAGGGCTTGGGGTGTTGGCCTCACTTGATGAGGATGAATAATCCAGTCTCTGGGATTGAAATCTTTTCTTCAGTTCATCTGAGGAACTGTCATACTCATTCTTACTTGATTCACAACTTCCCTTTCCAAGAAGACTATTTTGAGCTTTCCATTGGGCCTCCTGTTGCCAAGAATACAGCTTCTTGTGTTCTGGCCTCTTTATGCCAAAAGTCTCTTCCTCAAATATAGAGCTGCTATCATCAGATGCCGTCAGATACGCTTCGCTCCCCAGCCTGCCGCACTGCACACCTTCCTCTGATGTGTGGCTGGAGAGGGTAGATGTGCACCTGGACTTAGGTCTTTCTTTGCTCTCATCTTCCTCATCAGAACTCCAGTCACTCACGGGAGCCCCAGAATTCTGGGATGTGCCACCATCTGTTGCACAGCTGGTTCTTGTTTTCCGGTTTTGTTCTGAGCTGCAAGGGGCCTGATGCAATGTTCTTGGGCCTCTGTCGCTTTCTTGAACTTGGTTATCAGCACTCTTCTCTAGAATTTCCACTTCTAGAAAAGGATACGTCATTTTAACATGTTTTCTTTAGTAATAAAATCTTTTATTTTATAAATACACCATAAAACTTCTAATTTTATGTGAATAAGATTATACATTACCTTTTGCTAGTTGTACATCTTTTGAACACTGTAAGTCTTATATAAAACACAGAGCCCTAACTCCTCCATATATAATTGTATCAAATGAAAATGCTTTTTACAAAGAAATATGTTGGGGGAAATGGATAAAAAGATTTAAAAAAAAGAAGCAAAATGTAAAATAGGGCAACTCTGACTATCATAAAAAGCAGCCAAAGCAGTTGTGGCTGTGCTGGGCTGTAATGTCAGGAAGACTGTCATGAGTTTCAGGCCAGCCTGGGCTACATAATGAGTTTAAGGCCAGAATGAATTACATAATAAGACTCTGTTTTAAAAAAACAAACAAATAAAAACAACAAAAGCAGCCACCAAAAAACCCCAACACCATTAGTTCAATTTTAGAAACAAAGAAATACATAACCCTCTTTCTACTAAATTTCAAAATTATGATAAAATAGAAGCACAATAAACATAAAGCTATAGCTTAAGAAACAAATTTTTGTGCCTAAGCCTCAACACATGAGATATGTAAAACCATTTAAAAAAAAATTATTTTTTTGGTACTGGGGATCAAACTCAGGATCTTGCGCTTGCAAGGCAGATGTAGTGCCACTGAGCTAAATCCCTGGCCCTCTACTTTTTATTAACTATAGCTACAAAATGTTTTATAACTTTTAAAATGTCTTTAGATATAGCTTATGTTTATTTATAACATAGTAGAATGCAGCCTGTTTTTCATAAACAGTGAATTAAACTTTAAAGAATAGAAAAAGCATTATGGGAGCAAGTTTGACCTTTATATTTGAGGAATGAGCAGCTGAACAAATGCACTCAAAAGTTTCATTATCAGGCAGTTTGTTAAATTTTCAAGTGAGCCAAAGCTCTGGTACAAGCGATTTTAGCTGTGCTCAACTATTAGTGGGAAAAGATTATAATGTCTTCTTGAAAAAGAAAAGAAAATGCAAGTAATGTCAAGAAAATGAGTAGCATTTTCTGATGTCATTTTCAGAATATCATAACCAACCATAGAGATAACTTTTAGGGCTACAATTTTTTCTCCTTCGAAGGAAGAAAACTGGAACTGAAAGTACATAAGTTCTAAACTCAAGTCTCTCTAAAATATCTGGGAAAAGCCAACAAAAAAGGATTATACTACAAGTGTCAAAGCCAGCAGCTTTACAACAGAGCAAAATTTAGCAAAACCTATAAAACTGAAAGAAAAAGAGAGAGAGTAGGAATCTGCACACAGGATGAGGGTGTAAATCTTTAGACAAATATTTACCTCTTTAAAGCAACAAAGGGAAATTCAAAGCAGTTACTAAATTATCCCTGGGGTTAATTTCTTTATAAGTTTGCTAGGTAAGAATTAGTTTCTTGTTTAATATTAGGTTATTTAAAAATTCTCAATAAGTAACAAATAGAAATGCATAGTTCTAATCCAAAACTCAGCTAAAACAATTGTAGAATTGTAAATTTAAAAATTTCAACTATTTCACCTGCTGCATGAAAAAGTATTAAGATGGGAAAATCAGTTTTCCTTTGCATCATTGGCAAAAACTCTCAGAAGACACAAAATAACTACAGAGTCAAGGTTCAATACAAGGTTCAAAATAAGTACATATTGCTTTAGATATGTTCTCACAAAGCATCCAGTTGTCAGAAAAAAAAATTAAGCTATATTTGGATTAGTCTTTGCAAATGATTTTTCCTTTTTAAAAAATGCCAAAGTAAATCAATATGGTAAATACCTTCTATGTCTTTCCCTTCAGTGAATTCAGGTTCTTTAGGTGATAGCTTGCTTACTTCCTCATATTTTACTATTTGAGGCGGACTTCTTGCACGAGATGAAAAGCACCCAAATGTCAAACTGCTCAGGCGCTGCCCTTCCGAAAGCTTTGGTGTAGATACAGCAGACAACTTCTTCCCTTGAACTTCTGCAAGGTCATTAATCAATATTAATATTTCATTCTTTTATAGCAATTTGTTAAACATAAAACCAAAGCGTAAAATAATGTGAACAAATCATTATACCAGTAAAACAAACACCTAAAGTTCATTTTTATATATAGTAACATGGACATCTCAGTGTAAAGCATTGTAAGTCTATGCTTAAAATCTGTTTTATATATTTGCAATGTTTAAAATACATTTGAATTTAGAGAGAAAAGCATCTAATCACTTTGAGTAGTAGTTCTCAAACAAAAATACAAAATGAAAACCCTGTTTTAAATAACTAGAGAATTACAGCTTCTTAAAAAGTCAAGTATTGCTAAATATCAACTAAGCATTGATTAAAATTAGTGTGGAAACACCATTAACTGTGAGGAAAAAGGGCCTGAGGGACTGGTTACTAACACAACCAAAGGAAACCTCGATCACCATTGGGGTATCACACAATCACTGTAACGACTTTCACTTATCCTAGTTTTCAGAAATGGGGGGGTTGTTTTTGGTGACCACAATATAGAGAACCTTAACCACTTCTTTAAGAAAAAAAGGAGGAGCACAAAATTTAGATAGCTACTGGAGTGATTAGGCTAGCACCTAATCATGAATTTAATTTATCTCTAGGAATCTTAACACAGCTGCTTATAAGATCAAAAGCATGGAGATCCCAGTAACAAAAGTTTCCAAGGAAATTCTTAACTCTTCGAGAGCACCAAAGGAAGAGTTAAGCAGCAACTGACAAGTGAATAAAACATAAGTGCAGATTAAAAATATTCAGAGAAAAGATTGCATGTGTACTGTATTTTTTATTATTTACTAATAAATACTAGTCCAAACCTAGTTTCCAAGGATCAACACCTTTTAGTCTATAAAACTAAGAGGCTGCCAATGAAGACCAGAATTGCAAACCAAGAATACCGGAGGATATAAAAATCTTTTCTTATAAGAGTGGACTTAGTACATTCAATCTATCTTAATGAGGGTTAATGTCACAAAGCCCTGAAACTTTAATTCTAAATATAGAACTCCAGATCAACTATGGAGCATCTATTTTCCATCATACAGGTGGAGGAGGTGATAGCAAGTAGGTATTAATATTCAGTAGACAAAATGTTCTATAATCAACAATTATATATGCTGCTGCATCAAATCAGGAAGGCACTATAGCCACAAGTTTACTACTGTAAAAATATTCTAGAGATAAAGTTATTAAGTAGTATGGCATTAAAGTTGACTTCAAAGCCCATGTTATTCCAACCATACCAGTATTCTTTTGATACATTTGGTGACATCCCAGGGCTTTGTGGAAATGTTCCAAAAGGAACAAGAGGCTAAAGCTAAGTGTGCAGAAGTCTGGACCTGTCACCCAACACTGTTTAGCACCTGTCTTTTCTATTCAGATTTTCCAGAAAGAAATGTAAAGGTTTTATTGCTAAATGAAGTTTGAATGCCTCTATACTGCGTCATTGTCCATTAAGCATGAGTAATACATACATCCTTCTGAATTTAGCTCTTCAACCTGATGTACACCAGAACAGGTACTAAAAATATCTCTATTAAAGGAGAGTTATACCACTCATCCTTAGACTTTGAAGTCAGAAAGGAAGTAACCTTAATGCACTGGAAAATGCAAAGAATTTATTCATATCATAAAACTATGCTCAAAATATTCAGGCTGTAAGAATTTCAATCACTGTTGAAAACCACAATAAAAAGCAAAAGTTGAAAATAATATAACTGATTTTTTAAAAAGCATACACACCTGAAGCTAAACATTCAGATTAGTATTTCTCTTTTCAGGTTATTCACTGATATCCAACTCTGCTGTCCAATATGGCCACTGGAACATATGGCTATTTAAATTTCAATCAATTCAAGTTAGGTGAAATTTAAAATCCAGTTCTTCAGTTGCACTAGTTACATTTCAAGTACTTAATAGTCACGTACGACTAGTGGCCATCATATTGGAGAGCACAAATATAGAATATTTCCTTCAATGCAGGAAGTTCTATTAAAAAATGCTGATCTAGTTTGAAAACTAAATGTTCAAACAATATTACCAAATTTTACATTTTGAAAATTGACCTCAGAGCTTATAAAATATTCTTGTGAATTATTTTAAGAGTGACAAATATGCCTTTGGATTTAAGATTTGTAGGTAGTCAAAAGTTATAAAGAACTGTGGAAGTAAGAGTGTTTTAATTTATTTATTTATTTATTTATTTATTTATTTATTTAGAGACAGGGTCTCACTATGTAGTTCAGGTTGGCCTTGAACTTACTATTGTAGCCCAGGCTGGCTTCAGACTCAGCAATCCTCCAGAATCCTGGGAATACAGCCATGTGCCACCATTCCCAGCAGTAAGTGTCTTACTCTTGATATTCTGGAGTTATTAATGAATTATCAGTGGACACTCCCACTTGGCAGGATTCAAATCCTTATCCATAAAACCCAAACGGGAAAAGGATTAGAACATCAGTGATTCAAAGTGAACTAAGTTGTCACATTTGACAGCTAACTACCAACTCTGTCATAATACAGTGGACCCTCAAGTTACAACCTGCCTCACATATGAACAATTTGGGTTAAGACCGGAATTTTAGTTTTAACTTACGACCAAAGTCTTGAGTTACGACACAAATGCCCACCGCTTGTGTGGTTGTAAACAAAGACTTGTGATGCCAGAAAACCATATGTAAGCACACATAAGCTTTAGTCTGAGCCCAGATGCACCTGTTTGTGGATGTTATTTCAGTCATTGCTTTATATAACTGCTATGATTACTGCTATCAAAATGGCTCCAAAAAAAGCTAGAAAAGAAGCTAATAAAGGAAGGAAAGGTAAAGGAAGTAACCACCATCAAAAAGAAAAAGGAAATTGTGGAGAAATATGAGAGTGATGTTAGTGACTGATCTTGCTAATGTGTATAGCATGTCAAAATCCACCATCTTGACAATCTTACAGAGAAAATATTTGTATAAGAAAGCTAGTGCTGCTAAAGGTGTGATTCAAATTAGCGAGTCACGATCAACAGTGTTAGACAAGATAGAAAGGCTATTACTAGTGTGGATAAACAAAAGGCAGAGATGGCAGGTTCTGGCTGAGTCTATAATTTGTGAAAAAGCTAGGGCTATAAATGAAGATCTCATAAAGGATAATCCATCAACAAGTGATGATGGTGAAACATTTTGTGCCAGTAAGGGGTGGTTTCACAATTTTAAAGCAGGACTTGGGGTTCATAATGTAACTAGGCATGGTGAAGCAGCCAGTGCTAATAAAAGGGCTACTGAAAATTACATATACCGCTTCAAAATGATGACACAGAGAAATAGCTTTTGCTCTCATCAAGTTTTCAACTGTGATGAAACTGGCCTTTTCTGGAAGAAAATGCCCACGAGAACATACATTACCCAGGAAGAAAAGAAAATGCCAGGCCACAAGCCCATGAAGGGACAGCTAACCTTATTGCAATGTGCCAATGTGAGTGGTGACCTCAAAATAAAGCCTGTCTTGGTTTATCACTCTGAAACCCCTAGAGTGTTCAGAAAACATAAAGTCATGAAGAATAGGCGAGGGGTCATGAGGAGATCTAACACAAAAACCTGGGTACAAGAGTGCTTTTTCTTGAGTGGGTTAGGGAGGCTTTCTGTCCTACTATTAAGAAATATCTAGAGGGAAAATGTTTAGCACTTAAAACTCTCATCATGGATAATGCTCCCTCTGACCCATGAGATTTGGAAGAAGAATGGGCTGAAGAATTCCTATGACTCTCAGTCGAGTTCCTCCCACCTAATACAACTTCTGTACTGTAGCCTATGGACCAGCAGGTTATAGCTAACTTTAAGAAGCTATATAACAAGGAACTGTTCCTGAAGTGCTTCCAGATGGTCTCAGATACAGATCTAGCCCTTAAAGAGTTCTGGAAGGAACGTAACAACAGCCTTTCCTGTGTGGGGTTAATTGAAAAATTCTGGGCCAATGTCTCTCTAAGGACATTGAGATCTGCCTGGAAGAAACTGTGGCCTGAAATTATACAGGAGAGTGACTTTGAAGACTGTATAGAAGAGCCTGGGCCTTCAATTGACCCTGTGGTTGGTAACACTGTCACTATAGCAGAGTCCATAGGCTTGCAGTGGTGCTGTTGGGGAACTGGTGGAGGAACACTCAGAGGAATTGTCTACAGAGAAACTTCAGCAACTTCTTACTAAGCAATAGAGAATGGCAGCTGAGGAGCTCTCTGAAGAGGGAGATATCAACAATCAGTGCAGCAAAGTTCTTCTGAAATAAAGGAAATCCTGAAAAAATCGATAGAGGTACAAACATTTGTAGAGAAGACACACCCAGACAGAGCAAAAGAGCCAACTGTTGCATTCACTTGGTTAATGACAATATCACGTCACACTACAGAACAGTGTTAAAGTAAAGACAGAAACAGACAACATTAGATCAGTTTTTAGTTCTGAAAAGGCTGAGACCTAATGAGCCAGACGCAGGTCCTAGTGGGCCTCAGACTCCGCCAAGGAGAGAAGGGCAGAGAGCCAGATTCCTGATGTTGTTATGGAAGAGAACTCTCCTTCCAAACAATAACCACCTTCCATTTCATCCTCCGTTCTTGGAAGCCAAAGATGTCAACTTGAATGGTGAGTATAGTATGAACTTGTTGTTTCTGGCTAACTAGGCACATTATATAAACTATTCACAGTTTTTGTGAATACACTAGGAAAATTATTAGTGCTTCTGGTAAATTATGCACATTATACAACCCTTTTTATTATGAAAAGGTTAATTAAGGGATACTTTGGGAGGTTTGGAATGCATTATGGGTATTTCCATTATTTCTTATGGGAAAAATAGTCTTGACTTACAACCAACTTGAGTTATAACCAGCCCTTGCAAACAAATTGAGTTCATAAGTCAAAGGTCCACTATAACACATAGAAGTGCTCCATAGTTGCCCTCAGAAAATGCCAAGTTCAGTGATGTGGTCAGAGTATGTGAAGTCCAAGAGGTTTCTCCAAAGTCCTCAATGCAGCTATAATTGTACCACATGCATGATTCCCTGGTCCCCACCTAAAGGGTCTATTCTCTTTCTGTAGCCAAAGTTCAAACTTCTCTAGACTTTTGATATACAGACTTCAAAGACTTCTAACCTACTATCTGGCTTAATAAGGCCCTCTGTATTTTTTCAAGGAAAGAGGGAGATGTAGCAGTACGTTGTTAGAAAAGACCAAAATGGCATCATTAATAGAAATTGGTACCCACTGCCCATGATCCCTCACCTGGGCTAACAGCAAAATACAGTACTTTTTAAAAATTGGGCTCTGGGGAGCCGGGGATTTAGCTCAGTGGTTTTGCCGCCTACTATGCAAGCACAAGGACCCAAGTTCAATCCCTGGTACCAAAAACTAAAATAAAATAAATAAAAATTGGACTCTGGGACTTAGTACAGTTCTAAAAAAATTGGGACAAATGGAATGTCTTTCAGTATGGAGAGAGGCAAAATAAATATCTGGTCATGTTTTTCTGATTTACGTAACAGCCATTTTGGTAAAACTGTACATCATCAGTCCTACCTCTTTTTGTCTTCCTCTTTCAGGCCCAACATTAACTTGTGTGCAGGATTCTGGTTTGTTTAGTTATTCACTTTTATTTCATGGCAATAATTTCTTTCTTTTTTTTTTTTTTGGTACCGAGGATCGAACTCAGGACCCTGTGGCTTGCAAGGCAGGCATGGTGGCATTGAGCTAAATCCCCAGCCCATGGCAATAATTTCTTATATGATGTTCATAATTAAGTCTTTAAAACACCAAAAAAAAAGATTTACAATCTTTTTGTATATCCTATACAGCCAAATAAACCCAGCTAATCTATCTTAATGACAAAATTTGTACCTTGTAATTTTGACTGTATTGTTTTTATCTCTTCAGTTTGCTTTTGGTTGACCAAACGAAGATTCTGATTCTCCAATTCTAGCTAAAAGAATACAGTGATATTCTTTTATATAGGGATAACATTCTAAAATGTACTAATAAATTATAATAGTTACAAAATGTTAATATGTCATTATTCTATATGCAAATAAAATTTTAAAAATGACAAACAAATAGATGAATTTATCAGCATAGGCTATGAACCTAAATAATCATGGCATTAATACTTATTTCCAGAACTCAGACTTTTAAATGTTTTCACCGCATGCTTTAAGTATTTTAAATCATAGTATTTCAGCATTTAATCCTTGCTTGTTAAATAATGAGCACATTAATTTTATGACATATACATGTATGCTCTAATTACTTAAAATTAACTAATTAGAACTAATATTAACTATTTCGAATGAGGCTATTTACACTGACCATCATGAGTCTACCAAGGTTTTTTAGAAATACAATGGATATTAAAATGAAAGCTACCTATCTCAAGTTTACTAAAAGACAGCAGCACCACAAACCAATCAGAATTTTTTGTTTCTCTCAGCATTATTGTATATTCTGATGACTTATCTATTCAAAAGAAGTAAAATATAAAGAAAAGGGAAAATATATAACAATAAATACCTCATTTAATTTTACAGTTACCCATTCTTTGATCTTAGCTGCTTTCTCTTCTATTATTTTAGCTTCCTGTATTCTTATTTGTTTCTGAAATAACATTAGCAGTTTGTTTAGTTCAAATGGTGCGTCAGTGATCTAGAAATTTACAACCTAAATATGCAAAGCAAATCCACTTAAAGCCTGTTTCCAAGTTAACACATCTGCTTCCAGATTACCAAACAGATTTTTAATAAAGAAAAAGTATCAAGCAAATACAATAAGAAACCAAAAAGGCATATGCAAGTATCGCTAGCTTGTCTGCTCTTCTCTTTCTGAACAATCGTAAACTGAAATCAAATCACTGGCTATATCAACAAACCATTTCTGAAACAGTAGGATAGGGTCAACCAGATTTGGGCGAGAAGAATAAGAACTGCTCAGAGTGTAGATATTTTCTCTCCTAAACAGTAGTTTTTAAAATCCAGGAAAGCCGGGGATTTAGCTCAGTGGCACCACGCCTGCCTTGCAAGTGCAAGATCCTGAGTTTGATCTCTGGTACCAATAAATAAATAAATAAATAAATAAATAAATAAATATGCAGGAAAAATCAACACTGAGAAACTCCAGCTCCATTTACCAAGCTTAAAATCTGGTTATGGTCACAAAATGACTAAGAATGTGACTAACATAAAAATTACAATGGGTAGGGGCTGGAAGTGGTAGAAAGCAGAAAACCACTGGCCTAAACAAACACTAACCCACAGGGACTTTTTTTTAATGTCGAAAATGAACAACAAAATTAGTGTATTTAGCAAAATTTCACAGTGGTCATATCAAAATGATGTTAACTAAGTAAATAAGCATAAAGCAATTTTTGTAATAAAATTTAAAATTAAATATTCTACTGGATCTCAATAAAGTAGTATAAAACAATGAACATATTTCTAAGGAGAAGGGTTTATGATAGACATAAATATCCTATAAACATTTCCAATATAAGGAAAGGATCGGTTCCAAAATTTTACAGACTTTAATGTCTGGTGGTCAACTGAATGATTCCAACTTAAACACTACATTTAAATTCGAAAGTTTGAATTTGAAGAAGCAGTGTCACAACTGAAGAGTGTTACAATGTCTGGAATTACCCTGGACTGAAAGTGAATGCCATTTTACAGGCACCTCTTACCAACACATGTGATGAAGTCCTGTAAATTGACTAGATAAGATTTCTCTTCCAGTTTTAGGAATTGAGGCTCTTTCTTTTTAATCTTTGTGATTATGCACAAATGAGTGCACACACTTGGAAGACTTTGATGATTAAATTTTTCCTAACCTGCTCCTCAAGTTGCAGTTCCAAGTTCTGAATGATGTCATCTTTTTCCTGTATTAGAGACTCCAGATCTTGACATTTTTTATATAACCTCATTTCTGATTCGCTGGTTTGAATGTTAGCTGTTTTCAATTTCTCTTCCATAACTTGTACCTAAATTCAGAGGATAAAATATTAAAATTGTGCCCATACTAAATTTATCATACTATTAAGCTTAGAATTTTACTTTATATAGACTCCTAAAAGGTATCATCATAAAAGGAAAATGTTAAAGATTAATGTGTTTCATAATTATAAAGTCTGAAGACTGTTTTTCCAGGTGGTATTAACTTTGAGGCACATAAAGGGATATAAGAGATTACTGAAATAGTACTATCACGTAAAGTAACATACATATTTTCCACAGCAACAATAATATGTAGTATTTGTATAGAAACAGAAAGTTTCTAGCCATCATTTTAAAAAATATTTCACACAGATAATGATATGAAATAAAGAAGTGAGTGGTGAGACAAGATTCAAATCAGTAATAATACATTTGGAGGCAAAATTGAATTTGGATGAAAAAGAAACACATAGTCAAAAGGAAAGGGGAACAAAAGAAACTTAAAGCCCTAAATCACAGAATCATAAAAATAAAACAGAATGAACATCTAGATATAGGTCAAATGCATTCAGGGAGGACTCATTAATTCTGTTACTTAACAAATATTCACTGAGTGCTTGCCAACTGCCAAGACTACTCCACATCCTGGGAAAGCATCAGTGAATAAAAGAGATCCAAAAATCTCCATTTGCATATAAATTACATCCTATGGGGAAAGAGAGATAACAAATATAATAAACATGTAAACATCATACAGTACATTACACAATTGATAACAGTAATGGGAGTGTGGCTGGATGTATCTAAAATAGATTGGCTGTGTTTGTATCTTCTGCCAAACACTTTCAGGCATATGAAATTTTAGAAGGGCATATCTGCAAATTGTATTTGCTGACCTACATTGATTATATAAGTCTATTCAACTCAGAATGAAGTTTAGATTTTACTGCCACCACATTTTTATCTTTCTGTGAATCACAAACCTGATCCTTGATTGTAGATAGTCTAGTGGACTAGAAGCCTCACCAGAGACTTTACAAGATGGTCTAAATATAAGAGGTGTTAATGACAGTAAGAGAGAAAACTATTGGGGACTGTATATAGCATTAAAAGGTTTATTCTATATACTCCAAATAGGCAAGAATGTAATTTCAGCAATGGCTTAAGTGGGCCTAAAGAAGAAAATAATATGAAAACATTTGAGAAATTAGATGATAGTTAAAATGAAAAATCCTAAATTATTAAAATATTTTTGAAAAATCAGAGTGAATCCTAAAAGTTCCAAATATTTGACTAATGAGAATTTCCAGAAAGAAGGTATAAAGGTTGGTTCAGTTTTATTATTTTTAACAATGAACACCAGGTTTCATCTGTGGGTTCACTGTATAAACATATAAATGTAAATTCAGTTGAGATGCCAAAAGTGCTCTACTTACATAGTACCTACATGGCTAAAACTATGAAAATAAAAGCAGATCAAAAAATAAGAAAAAAATTATTCCACTATTCAAATGAGAATTTCAGTTATTTTAGATTTAGGTTCTTTAACACAATACAGTGAGCTTTCTGCGTGATCTGAATGACAAAGATCTACATCAAAGACAGGTTTGTGTCAGAGATGTCATGAAAAACAGCACATATGGGATAGAGAGCTGGACAAGAAATACTAAGGTTCAATGTTAAGGTGGCATTTCCATTTACACCCAAGATTATTTGGTAGCTGTGAAAGCAGAGAGAGAACAGAACCCAAGTCCACAATGGTACTTCTACTCTGAGGAGAAGTTCTATTACCTAGATAGAGTAAAAGAAAAACATAAGTAACTAAATAAGAATAGAAATAAGCATTATCAGACCTTCATTTATGGTCTTCTTTTATTGATTCAGAATAAGCTACCCTATCAACATTGGATTTCTACATTAAATTGTTCTGTTATTAATTAAGAAGGGTCTGTAGTCCTGTACAACTATGATCTGGAACTATTCTTCTACCCTGAAAAATATGTTCAACTTTCATTTTATGAATGGATGCTATAAAGCTCTTTGTATCTTTCCACCTAAAAATGTAAATCTGACTATTACTTTTAGATAAACAACTTTCCTGAGCAAGAAAAATATTGGCAAGTGTGCAAAACTTCTTAGAAAAAGAGATCACAAAGTAGTCACAGGCAACCTTCATACCAACTGGTCCTGTTATGATCAAGTGTCAGAGAATTCACCAACCTTCCTTGGTAAATAGTATGAATAAGAAGGCTACAGAAAAGCTAAGATGCTTACAGAAAAAAAAAACAAGTAACCTTTAAAAATATCCTAACCCAAGCACATGGAAAATAGCCTAGTTATTTTTCTATCCATTTAATGTGAATCATTCAAAGTTTTAGCTACTCAGAGACTGAACAATAATAAACACCTATGAATTCAAATTAATTTAGATAAACTCTTGCAATGTGCCATGTTTTTAGGCTATTTTTCTCCTTTACTTTTTGGCAAGTCTCTGCTTGCATCCACTGAGCACACTCCTTAGCCATTTCCTTCAAAACTTCTTAATCCTGAGATCCCCAAATTCTTGTTCACCAAATGGTTACCTCAGTAGAATTTAGATGCTCAGATCCTGCACAGTCCAAAGAAAAGATTGGCCCTCAGTGGGCTTTTAGGAGACAACCTCTGAGTTCTCAGAATATCCTCACCGATAAGCCTGCCTTTTGTATATCTGAAGTCTTGGGGGGACATCAGAAAGTTAAAGTTAACAATATCCATGATAGTGAGTGCCTAGCTTTGTTCACATGGAGTCCTGATCTACACTGTAGTAGTTTGACCTCTGGTAGAAGGCAAAGACACGAGGAGGGTAGGGATTAAATAACTAAGCTCAGACACATGACTGCTGCAGTCCCACATGACTGACTCCCAATAAAAATCCTGGACACCAAGGCTCAGATAATCTTCTGCATGTGGCAATGCTTCATATCATTCATCACTGATGGGAGGATTAAGTGCATCCTTGTGCAACTCTACTTTAAAAGAGCAAACAGAAACATGTACTTGGCTTCTTCTGGGTCCTTTTTTGGTTGATTTTAATCTGTATCTCTTCACTGTAATAAGCCATAACCATGGACCAGCTTCTCTGGTCCTATGAATCTTTCTAACAAATCACTGAATTTCAGAGTAGTTTTGGGACCCCAACACAGCTTCCAGCACTGTTTCACATTAACCTCTCCACCCTGGGAAAGCAAGAACTGCAAATATTACTCCCATGTAATTAAACATCTTGCTATTTCCTTCTTCCCATTTCTCACCTCATCCCTCCCTCTTCCACTATAAGTAAATAAAGGTGTGACTGTACTTTCTATTTTGTGTGGTGCTGAGGATCAAATCCAATGTCTCATACACAGTAGGGAAGCACTGAGCTATATACCCCAAGCCCTAGTGAAAAAAAAGGGGATTGAGAGTATCTATTTCTATGTCACTCCACTGGCACAGTAAGGGTTCCTGATTGTTCTCAAATAAAAATAAAGAAGGAATTGTTAAGAGTACTGTATTTTGAATCCCAGACTATTTTTCAGTTACTTAAAGTGTACTGCAATTCAATCAATCATTGTAATCACCTTTTAAACATAATTATTTTGGTGGGGTACTCTGAAGTAGGATCATTCTTGCTGAAGGTGAAAAGAAAAAGCAGTAAATAAATTTGTTTTCTACATAATGAACAGTAGACATCACATAGCAAAGCATTACAAGGTCCTGAAATTTAGAATGATGGAGCAATAAGAATTTATTAAGGGGGCCGGGGATTTAGCTCAGTGGTTCCACCGCCTGCTCTGCAAGCACAAGGACCCAAGTTTGATCCCCAGTACCAAAAAAAAAAGAATTTATTAAGGACCAAAAATGGCTTCAATACAGAGATCACTTTACCGAAAGGCAGATTAATCCACATAATAGAAGGGTCAGAGGAAACCTTATCTTTTTTCCTTTTTTTGGGAACCGGGGATCAAACTCAGAACCTTGAGCTTGCAAGGATTTAGCCACTGAGCTAAATCCCTGGCCTGTAGAAGGAACTTTAAATCCAGCTCCTATCAACCCTGAATCAAACATAGGCAAGGGATTGAGCCCCAAAGGACAGAATGAAAACATACACTCCTACACGGGAAATCAGCGTAATATTTTGGGATATCTACATATAAAGTAATGTACCTGATGGTGTACTTGATACTGAATCTTGTATGTCAGTACTTCTCAGAGGTGCTGTCTGCTGTTTTTCTACCTCACAAGAGTACTCATAAGTAGTATTCAGTTGATTTGCACATATTACTTTCAAAACTTGCAAACAATAATAAAAATGCTTTAATATTAAATAAAAAGATCACCAAGATTTATTCTTTTCTGTAGATAACTTAGTGATACCATGCAATAAATAGAAAATATATAAGCTAAAGTATAGAGTTGAACTGATTACTGCTTTTAGTGGTGAAACACTCCTTTTTGGCTAATATAAACATAGTTAAAGTCTTATGATGTGGTTCAATGAGAAGAGACAAGCTGAATTTAAGTAATATAAACATCAGATAGGTCACAATACCATGGAAATTGTTAAAGATAGCAAGGGATTCAGTTACTATAATTCACAAAAAGGCCAAAAAGGGTGACATAATCAATGAATGAGAGTACATCTTCTCTCTTTTTATATTTCCTGTCAACTGTTAGATCCATTTTGAGGTATTTACAGAAAAAATTTTTCTGAGGCATAAATAAATAGGTCCTGATAAATTTAAAGTGTTTTGACAGAGAGAAATGTATAGATTTTAGTAGCTTATAGAAACTTTAAGTGATTTGTGATTCTCTTTTCCTCTCTCCCTCATTTAAATTTAAAGTAGTATATATAAAATAATCAATCATGGTATTTTTGTTGATGTTGTTGTTGTTGTTTTTGGTACTGGGGATTGAACTCGGGACCTTGCACTTTCGAGGCAGCCGGCAGAACCACTGAGCTAAATCCCCAGCTCCAATCATGGTATGTTTTTGCTCAAAGATGTAGCACCTTGAATTAAATGACTTT